CTCAAATTAAGGGTGAATACACTTAATTTCAGAAATTTTTACTTATTTCTAGATCGTTTTTGCAGTGTAGGATCCCATTTCTCGAGCATTAATAAAACTGAAAGGATTTTAAGGCATTTATTTGCTCAGGCAATACATTATGAACCCTTAACACATTATATTTTAGTATGTTTACCATTTTTGGGGAGGGAAAACGTCATTTAGGTATTTTTAACTAAATAAAATAGAAGACGGACGTACGTATATCTGGATGTACTTGAGCGAATGAGCCGATAGCGCATGCACAGAACGGATCGTGCTTCCAGGACGGATCGGGTAGTGACAGGGGGATTTGCAGAAGCAGAAGGAACCGTAACACCGCAAAAACAATCTAGAAATCAGTTAAACATTTCTAAAACTAAGTGTATTTGCCCTTAATTTCAGTAGGTAAATAAGACGATTTGTCAATGGAATGAGTATATTTACTCCTAAAGTAAGATAATTAGATATTATGCATATAAGACAATGCAATAGCTTTTTCTTAATTTAAATATAATTCGTTTTGTTCTATTGGCAGAGTCTCACTTACCTGCTCAATTCAAGAAAAAAAATCCCTTATTTTAAGCAAAACTTTCAATTTTTTGCAGTGCAGTTGTAGAGACTTTTCATAATCATGCCTTTACAAGTTGATTTTATTAGTTTATGCTTTTGAAGTTTTATGAATCCAACCATTTTATACCCTTTTATCTAGATAAATGAAAGTTAACATATTCCACAGCAGACAAGAATATTTGCAGGGAAATGAAGGAAACAGAGATTTTCATGAAAGTTTGGTAAAATATATACTTTATTTCTTTATAAAAAGAAATATTATGAATGTTCATTATTGATTCATTTAGAGACATCTGTTCCATTTTGCTCTTTCATTGTGTAAAAATTAATTCCTTTGATGTACATACAACAAAATACTTGAATTTCATGTCTTTTTACTTTTTTTTGTACATACAGATCTGCTAGTCTAAACCATATCATACGCAGAAAACAAACATTCTCAACAGTTTTAGATCTCAAAAACAGGTTGAATAAAACTCAACCATAACCACTGCATGAAAATAGAGGTCACCTATGAATGCGACGGTTTTATTCCCCAGAATGTAGCTTTACTCCTCGAAGCGTTAAGAAAAAATGTCTGGCTTTGCTTCCAGAGCAGGACGGTTTGATAGGAGGAGTCATCAATAAATGCTCAAACAGTGCACTAATGAAGGGGTCGATGAAGGCCAATTCTCACTTGGAGCATCATCATTCATTAGAGTAAAAGAAACAGAGAGGGGAAAAAATAAAGAACAATACCCTTGCCTCCAGGCCTTGCTTTGAGGGGACTTGTTTAAACTGGGAAATGAGTAAATAACCAATTATTTGCTAAAAATGTTGGTTAGAGAGGCACAAAATGTTTTATCTAATCAAGAAAACAATTGGGTGGTGATGTGGCTTCGTTACCTTTAACGTTAATTTGAACACAGCTTGTTTACATTCAGCCTGAGCTCAATATAAACACATAAAACCCTTTCAATAAATCCTGCATCCAAATGAAAGCTACTATCCACAGAGTAACAACCAAAAATACGACGTCGCTCTGTGCTGTTGTAGTAGCTCAAAGACCGATAACCACACCATCTTGCATATCAAAATTTCAAGTAGAAAGAAAAAAAAAATGAATGAAAAAGTGAAAAAAAAAAAAGGCAGACAGCGATCGTGTTAAATGTGACGGGGACTTAAAGGATTTTTTTGGTAACTTCAGACTGAAGAAGTGTTGGTAAAAAGTGAAGATGATGTAGGTGGATAAGGCAGAAAGAGATGCACAAGCGTCAGCGTATTCTACAGCAAGTTCACGTGAGAGACCAACAAAAAAAAAAATATAAATAACATCTAAAGTTATCCATGCTTGATCTTTTTGATTTGCATGCTAAACGTTACGTGTGGCTGAAATATAACACGGCACAGAACCTTGGAGAGACCATACACATGTTGAGACAGGGTAGTGGCGGGATCATGCTGTGGTAATGTTTTTCTTTAGCATGGGTGGGTAAGCTAAGTGGAATATGGGTGGAGCCTAATGAGAGAGAGTTTTGAAATAGGCTGCAGACCTAAATATCTGATTTCCAAAGATCCTAAATAATCTCCACCCATCTAGTCTGACTGAGCTCAAGTTACGATGCAATCATAAGAGGGCAAACGTACGGAAGAGGATTAGGGCCACTGGAAAAGAAAAAAAAAAAAAAGTTAACTGATTTTTTTTATTTTATTTCAGTACAGTATGGGGAAAAAGTCAAAATTCTGACTTTAATCTCAGAATTCTGACTTTTTTCTCATGTTAAACTGAAATAAAATTCAAAAATCAGTTTACTTTTTTTTTTTTTTTTCAGTGGCCCTAATCCTCTTCCGTACAAACGGGTCCCGCTATGGATGAACAAAGTGAATATTGTCATATCTTTATTAAAACTTGACAATTCAGCTCTTTTTGTTAGTCTGTCACAGCTTGCGGAGCGGAGCCCTAGTGGTTAGGGCATAGAACTTGGAATTCTGAGATCCTGAGTTTAAGCCCGACTCCCACAGACTCCCACTCTGGCTCTGAGCAAAGACCCTTAACCCTACACTGCTCCCTGGGTGCCGCACAATGGCAGCCCACTGCTCCCCAAGGGGATGGGTTGAATGCAGAGATTTTTTGCTGCAGTTAAACTCACTGCGGGAGGTGACCGCCTCAAAGCTTCAAAGGTGTGGATTCAATCCCCGCTTTAACCTGGCATTCAAAACTTCGGCGATCCCAAGAATTTTAGGTGAGTGGCGGCCTAGTGGTTAGGGCATAGAGCTTGGAATCCAGAGGTTCTGCACAAACTACCGCTCTGGATCCCTGAGGAAAGACCCTTAACCCTACACTGCTCCCCGGGCGCCGCATGATGGCAGCCCACTGCTCCCCAAGGGGATAGGTTATATGCAGAGAGTGACTTTCGTTGCTCTGTACTTGTGATGGTGTAATAAAAGAAAAATAAATCTGATCCCAATAAAATACAATGAAGTTTGGGGTTTTAATTTGAATTGGTTTCAAGACATCCGTTTATTTTTCTTTAACCGGTTAGTCTGTCTTTAAAGACCAGGCCTTGCACACTTCCGTTTGAACAAGTGCCATCTAAGCGAGGCGTTTCTCATCTTCCGTATCTACATGCTAAATCTCTTGCAGATATGCATCTGCAGCCTCCTGCAAAGGCTTTTCAGTCTCTCAGGGAAAACGAGACCCACACTCCCTCTGACCCGCTTCCCTTACCTCAACAAATCAAATGCCTTTCAAGGAAATTTGATTGAGACTTAGTATGACCTTTGGTCTGAGCGGATAGGGCAGGAGCTCGGCTCGGAGCCAACGCGGGAGTTAGCAGCGAAGAGAGGGGGGCGATCGATCTCCAAGTTACCTTTACCCGATTAGCATAATGTTAACATGGCTCTTATGTGGTTGGAGATGGGATTTACTGTGTGATGGATGGATCACTCATTAGAGCAGGCAGCAGGAGTACTGAAAATGAAAGGGCAGCTGTATGCTTTAAGCATGAGAGACACAATGCGTATCAATTAGGCCTTATTGATCAGCCAGTTACTGGGTGGAAGTGGACACAGGTTCTGCAGCTCAGGCCAATGACAGTGAACAAAACTAATTTATATAAATGAACATAGACACATTGCGATAAAATGAAGTTATACCAACACGTTAACTAAGAATGAACATAAAAAGGTGCTCTCCACTTCTCTGAGCAATCTGTACCCGTAATGTGGCGCTTTTATCCAGAGATGAACCAATCAGACTTTTCCTGATTGAAATCAGATCTACTACTTTTTTCTTCTTATTGTTATAATGCAGAAAATGGTGGAAATGGTCGTTTGATAGAGGTAGCAGTTTTTAAATCCAACAAAAAAAAAAAATAAAGGAATTATAAAATGATCCCGTATATAAACATATGTCCCTAATCTACACTCTCAAGTCTCCTTAAAACTACAAAAACTGCATCAAAAGTTCATTGATGCATTTAGAAACTCATCATAATGGGAGCTAGTATTTGAGCTGTCAATCACAAATCAGAGCAAATGCAAAGAACTGATTGGTCGATTCCAATCTCTAGCTGGCTGATTGGTGCATCTCTACGTTTCCAGATTCTCTAAAACAGTTTGGACTACAGTCTTTGCCGATCATCCGTTTTTTTTTTTGCAGCACCAGGAATTTACAGGACTACAGGTGTGAAGCCAGAGAAAACCAAAATAAGATGAGGAATGTTAAAAACAAAATATGGGAAGGATGTTATGTACAAATCTGGTTAGGCAGCTTAGTGAATTAATTGCTTAGAAATAAAAATAAATTATTATAAAATAGATCTCTGTACAGTTTACATATATATAGCCATATCTCCACTTTTGCCAATGAATTACATAGAAAAAAAAATAAAAACTAGGAAAATAAAAAAAAAGGATGTCTGTCTCGACTTGGGCTTTAATCCCAACCAAAGTTATGTCCGGTCATCTGGTAGAACTTCATGTTGAAGGGTCTGTAGAAGTCCCGTAGCCTCTGCACCACCTCGGGATCAATGTTCGGATGGGTTCTCCCTTTGGTTTTTCCCAGGCAGTGAGGCTTGCTGCTGCCCTCTGCCTTCTTGAGACACGGGAATCCCTTGGTCTGGTTGAAGTAAAAGTGTTTGTCTGTGATGATCCTCTTGAGGCCCAAGAAGTCCTGCACGCGGCCCAGCTCTCCGGCCGGGTCGGTGATCAGACGCTCGCCGCTAACAAAGAGGATCTGGTCCATGGGGAAGTACTGCAGCCAGTTATCCAGGTGCTTGGCGTAGATGCCGATCTGGATGGCGCTCCACGAGGTGTCAATGAGCCCCGTAGTCCTGTTTTTGAAGGTCAGACTCTCAAAGGAGGGAATATCGGGCTTCTTAGACAGAGTCTGCGTGTAGTCTGAGATGGCTCTGGTGACAGGGTCCCTCACTACCACGATCAGTTTGGTGTCCCTGGACATGGCGGATATCCTCGCCGGTGCCTCTCTGGTCACAAAGTAGCTGGGAGTTTTCTCCATGGTGATCTGGCCCTCCAGGGTTTTCGGCATCAGATCCCTAAGAGAAGATAAAGTAAAATGACAAAAGAAAAGATTTAGAGAAGGGAGAAAAAAAAAAGGAAAGGTCTTGCATAATGTAATCAAGTTGATGGAGCACCCTGCATTCTGCAATCAATGACTCATTGAGCCTGTTTAGCCTTATTATGGGGTTTAAAAAAACCTATTAGTGCAGGCAGCTATCCAACATCAACAGGCTTAGCCACACGTAAGATATGAGTGACTCCTAAAGAGAAACAGAAAGCCATTATTTACAGTACAAGCAAACAGGAGTGCAGCTGCTGCGGAAGTTTTTCAACCTGAATCTTCAATGGAACGTTTTAGGGATTAAGGGTAAAGATGGAGCAATCAGAATCCGACAAGATGATACAGATTTACAGCTTTCTTTTTTCTGTGCTGATTTAGCTTCAATCTAAACATCAGAACAGGCAATATGTGCAGCAGGTTCTTTGATAAAAGTAGCAGTTTGAAGGCAACAAAAAGCAGAAATTAGAATTAGGATTATTCAAATTATGCATCTAATTATAATTTCTATTACTAGCTTTAACTTTTACTTCATTGACTGATGGATTTTGTAGACAAAAACAGTTTTTAAACAATTGGAAAAAGAGAATTTAGGTGTTTAAGTATTTTATCTGCTCAACGCTGATTGTTGAGGATTGAAGGGAAACTTAGTTATTTCTGTCCCAGTGATTTCCTCCTCTTATCTGCCTCTTCATAATTATGCTTTAGGTCATTATATATATTATATCACAATTACCTGCTAGAAAAATAGATTATTTTATAAGGTGTAATTTTCATTATGTTTAATTGTTATATTTTTCTGGATGCTAGAATCAGCTTAGATTGATTTTATAAACCACCTAATCTGCTTTTGGGGATTTTTCTGTACGCATCTGTGCCCCATCACAAAAAAAAAATTACTTTTTTAAAGGAAAAAGAAATGAGCGCTCGGAAATGATAAGAGCTTTGCTAAAAATGGACATAATTTTCTGTCGT